CACCAGAACCCATCACCCCCAGGCATGGATAAGCGGCAGCTAAAAAAGCCGCCCAAAAAAACGGCAGACGCCGGGAACTCCGTGGCCAACCTGTTTGCGGCTTCCCGCCAGACCCAGCCAGATCCACAAGATGGCGGCCGCCGCAGCCCGCAGCACCACCTACCCGCCCAGAGTCACCCCAGCATGCAGGCTCACCCAGGGGGGACACCTCACAGATCCTCACCAAACTGATGGAGGTGAAGACCTACCTGGCAGCAGAGATCAGCAGGTCTGCGGCAGAGGTGAAAGCGGAGATCGCGGCAGTAGGTCACCGCACGACAATTCTGGAGCAGAGGCAAGAGAAGGTCACAATAGCCCACAATGAGGTAATTGGCCATGTTAACTCCCTCACCACCAGATTAGCTACAGCAGAGGCTGCCCTAGAGGACCTAGCAAACCGCTCCCGAAGAAATAATATCAGGCTTAGGGGCCTACCGGAATGGGAGGGGGAAGGCAACCTGACAGACACTGTCCTGGCCATATTAAGACCCCTTGCACCGGACATCCCAGACCAGTTCTGGCTCCTGGACAGGATACATAGGGCCCTTGGCACACGCAACCCTGCCGCAAAACAACCACGCGACATTGTCATGCGCTTCCAACACCACAGCACTAAAGAAGCAATAATGAAACGTAGCAGAGAGGGCCCCATCTCCTACAGAGGCACAACAATAGCCCTATTCCAAGACCTCTCCCCAGTAACGCTCCAAAGACGACGGGAATGGCGACCGGTCACCGACCTCTTGAGGCAACACGGCATCAAATACGCCTGGGGCCACCCCTTTAAATTAATGGCCTTCAAAAACGGCAGACCCAAAATCCTACAGCCGGGGGGTGACGCCACAGCCTTCCTCCAGGCGCTGGACATCACGGCTCTGACTGATATCCAGTGGCAGACAGAGAACGCAACAGATCTGCAGCCCCTGCCTAGGGAATGGTACACAATGGGTGAATAAAGAAGCCGACCACGACTCCATAACTCAGAGATCTCCAATCAACATGATTCTGTCTGTCCCGCCGCCAGTGAGACCTGAGGCCCGTTTTAGATGAGGACTTTCAGGGACTTCAGCACTAACCTGATGGGGCGGACCTTGGCCCCCTCCCTCCCCCCCCTCTCCTCCCCTGGGGCAGGAGGGCGGGGGGGCTAACTCTGCAGGAGTGTGCCGACACTAACATGCCATACCACCGAGAGACCCTGCACCCTACTCCAACCTCACGAACCTTAGAGCTGCCTCTCACCAATATGCAGGGCAGGGTGCTAAACAAAAAACAAGGCAAAAATATCACCTTCTACGATAGCAAAGTAGAAGACAACCTGGTGAACGCACAGGGTGGGTGGAATCGCATACCAGCATGGGGCCAGAGGGCACAGCTTTCCGCCCGGTCTGGGCTCGGGGGCGCAGATGGGGCGGAAACCAGGGCGAGCTTCTGCGCCACGGTGCGGGTGCTCTGGAAGGATGGTAATATTGCACTTCTGGTGGAGGTGCGTCTGGACGCAGACACTACAGTCTGAGGTAATCACCACCCCAAGGATGCCTCATCACAGAGACGCCATGCCACAGGGGCCACACTCACACACCAGATACCATACGGGACGCCACATCCCCACCCACCGCGCCACTGAGGGACCGCATTAGATAGACACATAGTGAAGACATAACCTCAGATACACCAATAGAAGCATTGCCGCACACCACTAAGGCTCAGACGAATCCACAGGGGGCTAGGGAACACAACCGGGTGGGCAACTGACAGATAAGGACAGCACCTTAGCATACTCTGAGTCACCACGGGGGATACAGCTAACAATAAACGCGAATCGGACCACTAAGTAGGGGGGCTTCACAGGGATTCACAAAGGGGGGCTCATACACACTCAAGGAGTGGGCCTAGAGATGAGTTAGTTCGGACGAGGGTCCATGTCTCCGCGCGTCGAACCCACAAATGATGGGCGACTAGCGCTGACGCATGCGCTCCACAGAAGTCTGGCAAATAGTAAGACCAGACGGTTGTTGTGTTTGATTTCCTATGTTATGTTCATGTATTTCTGTTCTTCCTTCCTTCCCGTCCCCCCTCTTGGAGATCGGAGAATCTTGCGCCTGAAGGTCGGTCGGGGGAGACCAGGGGCGGCCCTCGGGCAGGCGAGCGGGAGACCTACTGCCGAGCAAGGAGCACAGACACGACCCTGTAAGTTGTCTCAATCGCACCCTCTCCACACACCGCCATGCTCATTCGCATCACATCACTGAATGTTAAGGGGCTAAACGCCCCCAAAAAGCGTAGGCTCCTATTTAGAGAACTCAAAAGGCTGAGCCCAGATATTGCCTTTCTCCAAGAAACTCACCTACCCAAGACTTTAGGGCTGCCCCTTCGAGACCACACTTATAACACGAGCCACGAAGCTAGGACACACTCCAAGCGCAACGGCGTAGCAATTCTGATACATAAGAGATGCCCTATACGGGTCACAGGCATAGACTCCGACCCAGATGGACGGTACATAATTATCTCGGGAACCCTGTTCGCACACACCATCCACTTAATAAACCTATATGCACCCAACGACCCTACCAGAGACTTCTGGACACACATAGAAGGCAAACTAGCAGCTTTGGAACACGGCATAATCATAACGGGCGGCGATTTCAACGCAGCACCGTGCCCAGCTGTTGACCGGGGGAGTATCCGGGGCCTGCCACGCTCACACGGCAGAGGCCGACAGGACAAACTACTACACGACTTTGTAAGCGCGACAGGATTGACAGACATCTGGAGGGCCCAACACCCCAGCGAAGTAGATTACACGTTCTACTCTGCACCCCACGACTCATACTCCCGAATCGACCTTTTCTTAGTAAACGACCAGGCCATTCCTAAAATCGCAAACTCCTCAGTGGGCTCAATTACCTGGTCAGACCATGCAGACGTAAGTTTAGAACTAGATGGCCTTTGCACCACGACCCCATGGACCTGGAAACTAAACACCTCCCTACTACAAGACCCAGACATCAAAGAGACCATCCGCAAAGAGATAGACGAATACTTCCAGCTTAACTCAACCCAAGACTTGACACCCGCAACCGTTTGGGCCGCACACAAAACGGTAATCAGAGGGGCCCTCATCAGGGAAGCCACCCGCAAAAAGAAACAAAAAACACAACAACTCAAATCCCTCCTACTAGTCCTCCACACACAAGAACAGCGGCACAAAACGAACCCTACACCTGACGGACTGCAGGCCCTACAAACCACCCGGCGCCGACTCAAGGAGACGCTACTGGACGACGTAGCTAGGGCTATGACGTGGTCCAGGAGAACATTCTATGAACAAGCCAACAAGATGCACACACTCCTGGCCCGCACACTTCGCCTACGACCTAGGCAAACGCATATCACCACAATTAGGGACCACAATGGCCAACCCAAAACATCACCAACAGACATAGCACGAATTTTCACGGACTTCTACAGGGCCCTATACAACCAAACCCCTACGGATACCACTGACGGAATTGACCCGGCGGAAGCCATACAGCAGTATCTCAACAGATTGAACCTTCCAAAATTGAACCAGCCAGCTATAGCAACCCTAGGGGAAGAAATTTCAGTAGACGAAATTAACAAGGCGATTTCCCAACTAAAGGGGCACAAGGCCCCAGGCCCCGACGGCTTTGAGGGGAGCTATTATAAAACATACCGGGAGGAACTACTACCCCACCTAGCAGAGTGGTGTAACCACCTGAGGCAGGGTGGGCGCCCTGATCCAGAAATTTCCACAGCCCACATAGTACTGATTCCAAAACCGGGTAAAGACACAACCTACCCAGACCACTACAGACCTATATCACTAATAAACCACGACGTCAAAATTCTAGCAAAGATCCTAGCGGAAAGACTGTCCCCGCAACTGACACACCTCATACATGCAGACCAGGTAGGATTTATCCCCGG